GCTGGAGGAGTTTTCCTTTCCTCTAAGTGCAAAGGTTCAAATTCGAGCTCCCTTCTCCAAAAACCTTGGCCTTCAAGAGCAAGTACCCACTCCGCCAAGTCCTCTCCATTTGCTTCATCTAAGTTCATGAGACGGGCTGCTAGGGGGTCTTTAGTGTTCAATGTCTCATCTTCCTCCTCCAAAATTACATCCACGGCATCTATTAGAAAGCAGTTAGCAAATTCACTTGGTCGCCGCATAGATTTCTGCACGTTGAATGTTATCTCTTCATCATTTAATCTCATTTTGAGCTCTCCAGTTTCACAGTCAATTAAAGCTCTCCCAGTGGCCAAGAATGGTCTTCCCAAAATTATGGGAATTTCCTCGTCAACCCGACAGTCAAGAATGATTAAATCTGCTGGGAACACAAACTTCCCTACCTGTACTAATACGTTATCAAGAATGCCAGAGGGCCTCTTCACTGTTCGGTCAACCAGCTGTAGTAACATGGACGTGGGTCTAGATCTTCCAATGATTGCCGGGGGCATCAGGTTTATGCTTGCCCCCAAATCACAAAGTGCCTTAGCAAATACATAGTTGCCTATTGTGTATGGAATTGTGAAACTCCCTGGGTCACACAGTTTCTCAGCTATGGGTCTCATCACAACAGCACTGCAAGTCTGAGTCAGTGTAATCGTGGCCAAGTCTTGAAAGTCGAACTCACGAGACATCAAGTCCTTCATCGGTTTTGCATAACCAGGCATCTCCTTTAAGGCGTCAATAAATGGAATGTCACTTGAATTTGCTTCAACATCTCCAAGAATTTCTTATACTGCTCATCTTTCTGATACTTGGCCAATCTCTGTGGGAATGGTGCTGGAGGTCGCTTTTTCCCTGTGATTTGAGTTTTGTCTTGCTCAGGCGCTGCTTCTACTATCGTTTCTTGTGCTACCTCAGTCTCTTTCGCAACCTCTATTTCTTTGTTGGCGTTCTCATGTGCATGTTGTACCGTCACTTCAGTTAACCCTATTGATTCATTTATCTCAATGGGTACTGGCACAAGTGTTTCAGTAGGTCGGTTTTCACGAGCCATTTCTTGCTCCAAATCTAGGTCTGTACCATTTCGTAGACTCACTGCCATAAGCTGTTTTGGGCCCTGCTCTTTTGGGTTGATTTGTGTGTCTGCAGGTAATGTCCTAATTGAATCTCAATACCCTTTATCGTTGATTCATGTGAATCTACTCTTTCAGTTATTTTTCCATTAGACCCGATCAATTGTTGCATCATTCCCTTAAGTTCAGCAAACCCATCATCTTGTCTCACAATCTATTGTTGTTGAGGTTGTTGATAAGCCTGCTGCTGATTTTGCTGGTTGTAACCCTATTGCCTTTGGTAGGGCATCACTTGACCCTATGGTCGCATAGCTCTAGGATTGTTGTTGTTATTGTACTGCTGTTGTGCTGGTCTGTATTGTTAATTCTGCTGACCCCAATTCTGACCACTTTGCCTCTGTCCCCCATAGTTGGCCACATAGTTCATATCTTCCTGATAATGCTGGTTGTCACCTTCAGCACTCCACGAGCACACATATGGTTGGTTAATGCATGGTGTACATAAGCCCCCATTAGTTGCGTCAACTATGTGTACTTGCTGCTTCTGGCCTGATTCATCTATCTTTTTGGTGAGGATACTCATTTGTGTCACTAGAGTGGCCATATTTTCAGCTATGGAGTTAATTGGGTCTAAAGCCACTGAATGAACTGCAGGATTGATTGGAGAGTCTCTTGTCATCCATCCTGACTTTTTGGGCCATCTTGTCAAGTAGGATCTTGCTTTCTCTAAATGTTTTGCTAAAAAATGCTCCACCTGCTGAAGCATCAACATTGGCCTTTAAGCTGTCTGCCAATCCCATGTAAAACCTTTGCCTCAATATCTGCTCCGGAATGCCATGATGTGGACACTTAATCTGCATACCCTTGAACCTCTCCCATGTTTCTTGTAATATTTCTGTTGGTTTCTGCCTGAAGCTCAATATCTCATCAATTTGCTTAGCAGTCTTATTAGGTGGGTAGTATTTGTTCATAAATTGCTTGACTAATTCATCCCAAGTAGTGATGGAGTTTATGGGGAGTGAATTAAGCCAAGTCTGAGCCTCTCCCGTCACCGAGAATGGAAACAACAACAGCCTTATTGCTTTCGGTGTCACATTAGGTTGCCTTTGAGTGACACATATCGACAGGAAATTCTTCAGATGCTGCTGAGGATCTTCAACGTATGACCCTGAGAACAGTCCCTTGTTCTGCAACAAATGCGGCATGTTGTTTGTGATTTGAAATGATTCTGCTTGTATCTGAGGGACTGCAATTGCGGTTTCTAGGTTGTCGGTGGTGGGTTGTGCCCAGCCGTATAATGATGCTTCTGGCACAAGAGGCATCACGCCCTGATTGTTCGGGTCATTCCCATTATTTCTGTTGTTTACTTCGTCTCCCATGTCTGGTTCGATTTATTCTGTTGAGTTCTGTTGTTGTTTGCCTTTCTTGTTTGCACGATTCAATGCCTTGAAAACTTTCTCAGGATCTGATAATGCTTCGAACAATTCACAAGTTCTTGAGGAGTTTATAGGCATGCACATGTAACACCTAAGACTACAAACGTTAGAATTTCAATGTATTTAGTTTGAATTGAAGAAAATTGACTACACTAAGAGTTTTAGCACTTCTTTTAGCTGCAATTAATAACACCGTTAATTCCCCGACAACGACGCCAAAATTTGATCACGCCAAACTATGCATTATAAAAAGGACAAAGCGGTCGTTGTAAATATATTCCGGTTAACAAGTCCGGAGTCGAATCCCACAGGGAATTAACCTATTAAAAACAGCTATTGGACTCACACAAATTCACGTATTCAATCTTCAAAAATATTTAAGCAATAAATTGGATGTTTACTAACTAAAATATTACGTAATAAAAATGCAACAAATAAGAACTAACTACGAACGAGTTGTAGACAAGAATTGAAATGATCTAAGGTTCTGATTTCCCCTATTGTCGGACTCCTTTTCGCTACGTTTTCTATAAATTTGCCTAAGTCTTCTCTATCTATCATGAGCACTCTGACTGTCGTAACTCTCTTCCGAGTAATTACCACAATATACTAGACATATTCTCCCGAATTACGCTAGCTGGCCTTAAGTATAGCTCACTCAGATCGGAGCAAGATTTCGTTATCCCTAATCCCACCTTTAAACCCTTCGTATTGATCCCTCATATACGTTAGGAGTGATATTGTTCAACAACTACCTAAATATGTACTCTCTCTCGAGTAATACATACTAAATAGGAATAGTTAATTGAGGGCCCTTCAATCAACAGCAATAGGCATATAGTTGAACAAATATAGAGAATACTATGGCAAATCTATATTAACGTAACAAGAAAATCATCCTCCAACAGGTTCCATCAAAACCCTAGATTAGGAGTTCAGCTACTCATACTCATAGTAACAATATCCAAAGTAATTTGCATAATTAAATTACAAAATAAGGATAAAGGGATGTAGAAATCGATGATTCTAACTCCCAACACGTGTTCCACGAGCTATCCTTTTCTACGGTTGCAAAGGTCCTTCAAAGTGGCATTTTTGGGTCTATTTATATGTTTAGGACACGGCCTAAACGTGTAGGTCAAATCCTAGTCAAGCCGGGAAACAAACTAAATCTTCAAAACTCGGACTGGATATCGCCCAGGCCTGGCGTCGCCAGCCTAACGCCTGGTGGACCTGGCCCCAGGCCTGGCGTCGCCAGGTCTAACGCCTGGTTCTGCTTGGCTTTTGCCTTGCATCGCCAGCCTAACGCCAGCTTCAAGCCTTGCATCGCCAGCGTAACGCCAGCTTCAAGTCTGGCGTCGCCAGGTTCTCTCATTCACTGCTCTCGCGCACGCTTTCGACTTGTAGATCTCCTTTTTTCTTCTACTTTCATCTCCAATTCACCTCACATAAAATGGACCCTATTACACGCAAATAAAGTGTAATTTATCATTAAAGCGTATAAAAATGCAAGGCGAATAATGTGTTAAACCATGAATTATAGCCACATATCAGTCCTCGAGTTGAGAAAAATAGCAACGTCAAAGAGGATAAGTAGATCTGAACATCAGATGTACGTGGCAGATATTTGTTGGGCATTAAATAGTCAGTAGTTTAATTTTACTAGAGTTCTTATTTGAGTAGATTTCTTATATTCTTAGACTCCTAGTTCTGCTTAATAGCTTTGTAAGAAGAGTCTCTATTTATTTAAAGAGACAGAAGGAATAAAAAGGGCAGACAAGATTTATATAAAAAACAAGAGATTTGGGACTCTCTCTAAAGAGTCCTAAGGTTATAGGCTCCCTTTAAAGAACTTGTTCATTGTTATCAAAATAGGTCGCTCACGGAATAGAAACAAGGGAAGGACCTATTGAACACAGACTTTCCTGTGAATTACCCTGTGACAAGATCTATTGTGTGTGACAATAACATTATGTTGTATCATCGGAGAAAATAATCCAAATGGCTTAGTGTCTTGAAAATAGAAGTAGTAAAGGCCATGTAACCTGCCTAGTTCTTATTTGACCTAAACTAATTGATATCATCCTTGAAGAAATGAAAATAGCTATGTCTTCACATAAAATGTGACAGTCATGTCTCTTCTATGGTTTTAGATTGGGGAAATGTGGATCTGTCTGCACACATTAGTGTGTGAATTTCTTCTCTTTGTATACCTGAAAGTTCTTTTCTCATATAAAAGATGGGTGAGGATCAGGGTTATGGTCTTGTACTTGAAAGCCTTTGTGCATTTAGCTGGCTACAGTAAAGTGCAGATTTTTGGTCTTCTTTTGTGTTAATGATTACACTTTAGGTGGCATGCTCTCCCTTTAGATTACAATCTTGCTATTTCAGTTTGTTACTGTTGTTGTCATAGATTTTGTGAGTTGCAGTTCCATTTTCTTGATATTAACTGGTTGCAATGGCAAAATGCTAGGTACAATTGAGAAGTTGGAAACACTGCTTCTTGGGGGTCAAGTCCGGAATATCAGGTTTTCACTTTTTCCACTTTGTTTATGTATAAATGGAGTGTTCTCTTCTGATGTGATTGTGATGATTCCTTGTTGGCCCAAGTGAAGGTTTGTCTTGAAGATTGACAAAGGAAGTTCAGGCATGAACTAGGTTTATCCCCTGTGTGCATAGAAACGGGCAGATTCGAGCATGTGGGATGCACGTGAAGGAGACAAGCTTAACTTGGTATATTTGATATCTCCTAATCGAAAAGGTTGAATAATTGATAAGGAGAAGGACTCCTTAATCAAAGAGAACACTATCCAAGATAGGGAAGGAGTTAGAAGTTGAGATCAACTAGAACTCTTCCACCAAGGAAGAGTAACATTAGAACTTTAGTTATTTCTTCATCTACTAACTCTGTAAATTGTTGGATGTTCTCACTTTACAGGTTACGCACAAACGCAGAAGTTAAACGTGAACTGAGAGCAAAATAGCAAGGCTTTTTGCAAGCAGTTCGTGTGTGATTCAAGTGTGCAAACCTAAAGCTACATGAACCGTCTTTTATTCTAGTTAAATTGTAGTAGGTGTTTTCATATTGTACCTTTCAGGTTTATCTAAAGGCAATTGTAATAGGTACTCAGAGTATTCAAGTTAGAGTTAACTTGAAGTTATTGCAACTGTTAGAGGTTGTTTGCCACAACAGGATTAGAGTTAATCCTAGGTTTACAAAAGTATTTTGTAAATGCAGTTTTTGGCTCAATGATTAGTGGAGAGTTTGGGAAAATCCTACTGAGAAGTAGGTCGTGGTTTTTTCACCTTTTGAGCCAAGTGTTTTCCACGTAAAATACTTGTGTTCTTTGCTTTTCGCATTTACTATTTCTGCAATAGAAGGTTAAGGAACACTTAGAAGAACCAAGTCCTTCCATAAATTGGACACCACACAAATCACCCCATGTTGTTGGTATTGAAGTTAAAACATCATTCCTTTTTTCATTTTTCAGTTGTCTAATCCTCGTTCAACGGCGTATCAGGAGTAGGTAGTCCTTGTTCAACGGCGTATCAAGCACCTACTACCAACACTCGTAGAGGTAATTACAATATGCTGGGAGCCTGAGAGACAATGGGTTTCGCATACAGTAACCAAAGTTTCCTTTTTCAGGAGTCAAAAAGGAGAGTTACATTGTCGTTTTGGATCTTTGAATGAAGAATATAATTCCATTTTCTTTACTCCATGCAGTAATGCTCCAAGTCCTTACTTGCCATCAACTCCTGGTGGACAACCACCAATGACACAGCGTTCAGCATATATACCTGGTACTCTTGGAAGAGGTGGGCAGGTATGATGTCACCTTAATGAGGTGTGCCCCTGTTCCTAACCATAGCTTGTGTGTCTTTTTGAATGACAAAACACTTAATATATGTTGCTGAAAGTTAAAATGAGAAACATTTTACTTTAGCGAGCCAATAAACTTGTGACTGCTGCAGAATTTGGATATTTTACCACTAATCTCTTGCACTCTAGCGAACGAAAACAGTAACATTTCATCACTTTAATCGAAAAAATATGTAAATTTTTTATATTTTTTTTTTGGATAAATATATATACATTTTGTATATTATATATAAAAATTATATAAGTTAATACATTTTTTCGACTATCAAATATAAATAATTTATAATGCGGGGTAAAAGTGATAATAACCCTTTTTTAGCAGTCTAATTGCAAGAAGGGACACACAACTATGGCCTTTGATATTTCACCCACACATCGCCATCAAAAATGCAATTACCCTGTCTTGCCACGTGTAATCCTATTCAGAGAAAAAATATTAATAAAAGAAATAGAATCTTCCATACCAATATAAATATATAATAGTACCTCCATACATATTTCACATGACTGCCTTCCTCCTTTGTTGCTAAAATTTTAAAAGGAGATTTACCAGCAGTTCATATGCATTATTACATTAGTGGACCACTTTTTGTGACAAAATCAGATGATTTCTTGTTTCCACTTTGCAAAGTGATGAACTAAAGGGCTTGTTCAAGTTCATGCATTCTGATTCATCGTTTTATGCTTTTCGCGTGTAATTAGTTCTTCCATATTTTTGTTGGTATTTGTAGTGAGTTTCAGTAATAGATCATTGCAGTATTAGATTGAAATTTGAATTGTCTTTAGCTTTATGAGTTCAGCTTTTGTTAAAAATAGTACTCAATGCAAACAGGGTTAAAAGCGGTAGATAGCCTGGTTCCTATAGGTCGTGGTCAACGAGAACTTATAATCGGGGACCGACAAACTGGAAAAACTGCTATTGCTATCGATACCATATTAAACCAAAAGCAACTGAACTCAAGGGCTACCTCTGAGAGTGAGACATTGTATTGTGTCTATGTAGCGATTGGACAGAAACGCTCAACTGTGGCACAATTAGTTCAAATTCTTTCAGAAGCGAATGCTTTGGAATATTCTATTCTTGTAACTATGTATTCAAATTAGAGTACCCTTTCTTCCACTTCCGAAGGATGGAGGGGGTATAATTCAATCGTATCCGCCTTTGAGGAAAAGACCGAATCAGTCTTTGAGCCATCCTAATAAATCCTCGTAGGTAATGCTCTTGGTCTGCCTTCAATCAGTTTATCAGCCTAAGGCTTCGCTCTATTACCTGTGTTGTAAGCTTTCCAGTCTTTGAAGTAAGGTTCAATGCTAGGAAAAATGCTTTTGCTTCGCGGGTCTATCACCCCAATAGGTTTAGTTAGGAAATTTTTTATATGAGTATGCCCCTATCCCGTAAGCCTTCCCTACGTTTCATATTAAATGAGGTACTTTCCTTTTTAGTCTGTTCCAAAATAAATGACACAATTTTAAATTTGGAAATAATTCAACTTTAAACTCCTCATTTTACCCATTTTACCCTTAATGAGAAGCTTTTATAACCACACAAAAGTCATGGCCCTACAAAACTTTACCCCTTAAGCTTTTAACACCACAAATTTCAAAAGTCTTTCTTTTTTTTCCTTAAACTCCGTGCCGAGTCAAACTACCTCATTTAATTTGAAACGGAGGGAGTAATAAACTTGTTTCCATTTGTCCACATTTGTTAAGATTTGTTTACATTAATTTAATGTTTTCATACATATAGTTAGAAAAGAGCAAGGTGTGGACATGTGTGAATTTGTGTGAACTAGTGTAGGCATGTATGGACTAGTGTGTACATGTGTGGACTTAATTAATATGTACACATGAAGTTTAGGCTAGATACATGTAGGAGTTCTACTATAAATACTCATGTATGCTAGCCATTTGGAGCAAGTGAAGTTGAATAGAAATCATCATTTCCTCCACCTCTCTAATAGTGAGTTTTGAGTGTTTGTTTAGTTGTCTTGCTCTCCCAAAATTTCTAACATTTGGTATCAGAGTCGGTATGTTGAGAGACAACCAAACTTGGAGAAAATATGACAAACACTAATGGAACACCATTCCAAGTTCCTATTCTCACAAAAGAGAAATATGGGAATTGGTGTATTCGAATGAAGGCCTTGCTTGGTGCCTATGATGTTTGGGAACCGGTAGAGTCTGGAGTTGATCATGCGGATGATGCCGCAACCACAAATAAAAAAGATCAAAAGGCACTCACTCTCATCCATCAAGGTTTGGATGACAAGATGTTCGAGAAGGTTGCAAATGCGATAACCTCCAAGCAAGCATGGGACATTCTTCAAACTTCCTTTAAAGGTTTGGACAAAGTGAAAAAGGTTCGTCTCCAGACCTTAAGAGGAGAGTTTGAATTATTGCATATGAAAGAAAATGAATCTGTTTCAGATTACATTTCAAGAGTTTTGGCTATTGTCAATCAAATGAAAAGATATGGTGAAGAGTTGAAGGATGATAGGGTCGTTGCAAAAATACTACGATCCCTAGATTTAAAATTTGATTATACTGTTGTTGCTATTGAAGAGTCCAAAGACTTGGACACCATGACCATAGATGAACTTTCGAGTTCATTGCAAGCTCATGAAGAAAAATTGAAGAAACCGAAAGAAGAATCGGTTGAAAAGGCATTGCAAGCAAAACTTTCCTTCAAGGAGAAAGATGAAAGGCGTGGTTCGCAGCAAAGAGGTCGTGGAAATGGAAGAGGTCGTAGTAGAGGAGGAAGACCAAATAGAGACAATAAAAGCCAAGACTATAGTCAAAGAAGATGTCGTGGAAGAGGCAAAGGATGGAGACAAAATCAAGGAAGGTATGACAAATTGAATGTTGAATGTTATACTTGTCATAAATTTGGACATTTGTCCTGGGAATGTGAAGATAATTCAGAGGGGAAAAACAACTTTGTGGAGAGCAAAAATAAAGATGAAGATGCCACTCTACTTCTTGCATGCAAAGGAGAAGAAAGTGTGGAAAAGAACAAATGGTACCTTGACTCCGGTGCAAGTAGTCATATTTGTGGAAAGAAAAATTTATTTGTGGAGCGTAAGGAGCTGAATGGTGGCCCAATCACTTTTGGAGACTTTTCGCGAGTTCAAATCAAAGGAAAAGGTACGATTTTAATTCGCTTAAAAGATGGAAGTCATCAATTAATCTCCAATGTTTTGTATGTGCCGGTGATGAAAAGTAATATTTTAAGTTTGGGACAACTTTTGGAGAAAAATTATGACATTCATTTGAAAGACAAAAAGTTGTATATGAGAGATGAAAAGGGAAGATTGTTAGCCAAAGTACCTATGGCTAATAATAAAATGTTCATCTTATATCTTCAAAATGATGTTTCGAGGTGCTTGCTCTCATGTGCCAAAGATTCATCTTGGCTTTGGCATATGAGATTTGGTCACTTGAATTTTGATAGCCTAAGGTTGATGAAGAAGGAAAGCATGGTGAATGGATTGCCAACAATTGATCATCCCAACCAACTTTGTGAAGGATGTCTCTTTGGAAAGCAAGCAAGGAAAAGCTTTCCTAAAGAGTCTTTAACAAGAGCAAGATGCCCTCTCGAGTTAATTCACATGGATGTGTGCGGACCTATCAAGCCATCTTCACTTGGTAAAAGTAATTATTTTTTACTTTTCATTGATGATTTTTCTCGAAAAACTTGGGTTTATTTTTTGAAGGCAAAATCGGAGGTGTTTGAAACCTTCAAAAAGTTTAAGAGCATGGTGGAGAAGCAAAGTGGCTATCAAATTAAGTCACTTAGATCCGATAATGGTGGAAAATGCACTTCAAATGAATTCAATAT